GGGGTGGGGGGTGGAGGGGAGGTGTGCAGCTGGTCCTGCCCTCCCCCAGGCTGCCTGCCCTCTGACCCTGCCCTGCAGTGAGCGGGTCCTCAGACTCCCCCTAACCTGGAGCATAAACCTCTCTGAGGGTCAAGCCTCGAGCCCTCCCATTCCTTGTTGATGCCGAAGCTGGGAAGTAGCTTCCAAGGCAGGCACTGTTCAAATACTTCTCTTCTGGGACTGAAGTATCCATTTTCCCCTTCATGCTTACCCAGCCTGAAGGGGCTCATAGGACCCTCTTGTCCCCACTCATTCTGCTCCTGCAAGTCCTGCCAGCCCCCCAACAGCACCCTGGACAGCTGTGCCCCTCCTCCAGGAGGACTGGATAAGCAGCTATCCCACTGCCGGTCACGTCTCCAATCTGAGCCTCACTTCTTGGTCTCCCTTTGGCCCTACTTAAGGTCACTTGGGTGTCAGGTATCCGAGAGGTCCCTGTGCATGAGAACTGGTGTGATAGAGTTAGCAGGTCCCAGTGTGGTCACCCCACTTACCTCTCTGAGGCTCAGCCTCCTCACTTATAAAATTAGGGGCTCCCTCCCCTTCCTGCCTTGCAAGGAGTCTGCAAGAGCCGAGACTATGGAGATGGGCGAGTACTGTGAAGGACACTGTTTCTCTGTCCAGGCCCAGAATTAAGTGGCTGGGCGAGCGGGGGAGGCCCTGAGATTGCCCGATGGCACCGGAAGTGAGAATCCTGTGATGTGGGGAGCACCTCCTAATGACTATGCCCTCATTCTTTATAAAACTGCAGTGGGTGCCTACTTGTGCCAGGGGATGTGTAGATCATGTTGGTCACAGGGATGAAAGAAGGACATGGTCCAGCAATGCCCAGCTGAGGGGAGTGAGGCCAGCCCCTCCCAAGCGGTCAGAGACAAGAACACAAGTAGTAGGATGCTGTGAGTTTCAGAGGGACCGAAGGCCCTGTCCCATCCACTGCTCCTGACCTTTAGGCCAGGAACCGCTCTCTGCTGGGGACACATGGCCAGAAAAGCTGTTTCTCAGCCCCTCACCTCACAGCCCTGATTCCCAAGGGGAATCCAGGCCCCACAGTCCCCACCGTCTACCCTGTGTACATATCCCTTCTCTGCCCACCTCGTGTCCACCTGCAGCCCTGGCCCTGGCCCTGCAGCGGGGTGCAGCTCACCTCCCTTGTCCTGGAGGCTCAGATAAGAACATGGCTCCTCCCCCTCGGAGCTCTCTGGGCTCCATCCATGTAGTCATGAGCACTCCCCACTTCTTAGGGAGGTCAAGGTGGATATAGGACGAGGGGAGATGGATGCATGGGAGGTAAAGAGGAAGGAAATCAAAACTATACCTATCTTGCTATTTATTCTTCCCTGAGCCTTGAATCCTGGGTCTCGGCTTCTCATCTGTTCTAAGTGTTCCAAACCACACTCCGTCCTCCACCCACGCACTTCCAAAAGGTCCTACAGGAACAACCCTTCCCCCCTTGCCAAGCTTGGGGAAGGGGAGGCACCAGGAGGTGAAGGCACTGACCCGGGAGCCCCTTCATGGCTCTGATATGGGACTCAAGCGCCCCTACCACCCTGCTGGCCTCATTCGTCCTCTCTGCAGAGATGGTGGCCAGGTCCCACTACAGGGTGCAGGTAACTGGCTGCACAGTTACAGGCCAAGGCAGAAGCTTAGAGCTGCAGGGAGATCTTGTTTGAAGGAGTAAAAAAAACTCACCTTGCTAAGAACTCAAGCTCAAGTGCTTATAGGGAGCTGGTGGGGAAGCCCAGGTGGACCTCAGGTGAACTGAGATAAGAGCCCATTTATGGTGGCAGAGACCAGCTCCTCAGCCCCGACCCGCTGATACCACAATAGAAATTGAACCATGTCTGAAGAGAAGCTGGAAATGCAGATTTTTCTGTGGCGACTAAGCCAAATTTTAAATAAAATTTTGTTTTGTGCAGGCCAAAATGCAGCTGTGAGTGAGCTTCAGCTTGTGAGCCTCTGATCTAGACAGTAACTTCATGCCAAACTACAGAACAAGAGTGCGTCAGGAAGCATGAGCTTAAAGCTCATGTGGGGTTGGGTAGCCTCTTATGCAAGGGACACGCAGACTGTTTAAATGGGGGTGTGTCCTAGGTATATACAGAGCCATTTACATACGTATGCAATGAAGGTATGAGCATTGCTATTCTTAATCAGTTTTCTCATTGCCCTCTTTCCCCACCTCTCCCCCCAGAGATGGAGAAGAAAAGCCTCTTTCATCCAGCATTCAGTCATTGGCCTCTGCCTGGAGGCCACGCCCGCCCAGCTGGTGACCAGCAAGTGCCAGGCCGATGCCCCGGCCCAGCAATGGCAGCTGTTGCCGCACACATGACGGTAGCCCCAGGGCCTCCTGTACCTTTTGCATGAGACTTTGGGACTGGAAGGGGGTTAGGGTGGGGGAGTGTAAAGCGGGCCGTTTCCATCTCCTCATATTTCTGCCGGAATCATCAGTAAACACCCCTGCCACGAGACACCATTCTCCAAAGCTTGTACGTGGAGGGCTCAGGGAACATACCCCGATGCCCCGGCTGCCATCCTGGCCTCGCCCCAGGAGAGAAGGTCAGGATGCTGGACTGCTGCTGGGCAGAGACTGGGCAGGTGCCCTCACTCTTTGTCCCCTCCCTTTGCCTTCCTGGGGGCCCAGACAGTGGTTCAGGTGCCCTCCCCTTGTTGGCTGGGGAGAGCAAAGACAGAAGCCTACACAGGGGCCCCGCTGTGTCATGGGGCCTGCCCGTGGGATCGGGCGGCGCGGCTGGGGAGGCTGAGGCTGGGAAGCGATGGGCAGCCTGCAGGGCAGACAGAGAACCAAAAGGAGGCGAGAAGCTCAGTGGCCTGTCCCAGGCAGGTGCTGGGTTGGGTGTGGGAGGAATGGGACCTGGGGCAAAGAATAGGTGATTTGTAGGACATGGATAGAAGAACAGCAAAGCACCCAAAGAGTGGGTCTCTTCCTGGGGACCTAATCCTCCCATGCTGCACTGTGCCTCTGGTCCTGTGCTCTGGTCCCCAAGTTCTTAGCAAGAGGCTGCAGGGCAATCTTCAGTGGCAGCCTTGGGACAGTTTATTAAACAGACCCCACTTCTGTTTGGCCATGTGTCAGGTCAAGGCCTCTCCCTTGGGCCTTAATGACCTGCTGGTGCCCTGTCCCCCCTGCCTGGGCCTGCCTTGAGTACCCCACAAGGGCAGGCAGCCACCATCCACCACTGAGCAGACCCCCTCGTTCCCAGTTTTTGACACCTGCTTTCTCAAAAGCCTTTGCCTCTGTAAATACAGCATTATGGAGTTAGGGTGGCCAGTAAGAATGGGACCTCCTTTCTGGAGCATTGACACTCCCTAAGTCATTAGGGACTAAGTCATCCAGGCTAAGCCCATCCTCACCTCTCCCCACTACAGGAGGGTCAGTCACGACCGTGGATGGGAGGCAAGCTGGTGGCTTCTGTTCGTGTAGAGAGCTCCCAGTTCCTCCTCACAGGCAGTGGGCCTCTTTCCCCCTACCCCATGGTCTGGTCTTGGAACCACTTCTGTTATTCCCCATATTCCTCTTTCCCCACCCCACTGGCTCAAGCAGTGTGATCTGGGGCAAAAGACTGGTGGTACCAGGACCTCTGAGGGTCCTCCTCCCACAAAGCAAACCAGCTCGGGACCCCTAGGGAGCTCATGGATTCCAAAGGGCCTAGGAATCTCCTGAAATTGTTCCCCAAATAGTGTGTATATATATATATACACACTATATGCATTTTCCTGGGGAGTGGGTCCTTGGATTTCCCCAGCTTCTTACAGAGGTCCCCGATCCCCAAAGGGTCTGGATTGGAGCTACCTACCATCCACCTGAGCTGCCATGCCCTATCTCCCTCCCTGGTGTGCCTAAACTGCTGTCGCCTGCGTCCTCTATGCAGCCCCTGGGACCAGAAGCCAAGGGTCTACTCTGTAGGTCCGCAGCACCTACTCTGGAGGGCTCTCGGTGGTTTCCTCAGCTCCTGGCTCCCCGGCGTCCTCTCAGCAGTGCTCCTGTGCCTCAGTGGGCACCCTGTGGGCTCACCAGCATGGGGGCCACACTCCTCCTGGCCTCTGCTGTGATGTTTCACCCACCGTCATCTCCATTGTGCGTGTCCACCCCGGTGGGCAGCGTGGGCCTTTGGAGATGGGGAGTGAAGGCTTGTCTCGTTGAATGTAAGAGGGCTGTTGCTCAGAGAGCCGTAGCGGCTCCCTCCTTCCTCATGGTCGGACCAGGCTCAGCACTTGTCAGCCATCATTTGTGGGACTCAGCCCTGTTCTGGTTTTGCTTTTCCTCTTCTTGACCAAAGCATGTGCCACTAGCTGTCCCTGAGGACTTTGTCTATATGAAACACACACTTGGAATAAAACCACTTCTCACATGTACATGTGCATCAGCGCCTTCCTTTCTAATGCCAGAGTCAAGCCCTTCAGCACCACCCTCCGCTGCCCCATAAGGAAGCCAGAGCCTCTATTCTGTAAAAGTGAAACTGAACACACTTAAGTCTAACTCCCTCCTGCATGTGATAGCTTGTCCCTTGGCCTACACGCCCCATGGTACCCCAGGGACTCCTAGACGACAGGCTGGCTGCTCTGGGGGGAGCCTGCAGGTGGCTTTGCTGCTGGGCAGGCTGGGCAGCCGGGCTCCGGTGACCTCACTGAGGGACACTAGGAGTTTCGAAATGGAACCTAAGGGGCTTCTCCAAGTGTTTGCCTTTGGGCCCCTCTGAACTACCCTTCCCCTCTACCGTACAAGAAGGCAGTGGTAAAAATGCAGGGGGGACCATCTTCCTGGGTAGAAACAGCAAAATCATTCCAGAAAGAGTCCTACCAGCCTAGTCTAGTTTGATCGAGTAACAGATGCTCTGCTTAATGCTTCCATGGAAACCAATGGAAAGCCCCTGCCATTTCTGTGATCAGAAGCTGAACCTACCCAGGTAAAAATAAACACTTCAGTGCATCTATGAACTGTAGTGGGCAGGCCCGTGTGAGACTAAAACCTCCTGAACGCAGTCATTTCCGTCTCCCTCCCCACCTTGTCTCAGGGCTGCTCATCTGGATTCCCCAGAACTTATGACCAGCAGGCCTGAGGGGCCTGGAGCAAGCCCTGGCTGGTGACAGTTCCAAGCACACAGCGTGGCTGCAGATCCAGCTTGGACTAAGCTGGACAAAGGTGACAATTAAATGCAGAACACTCAGCTGCAGTGTCTGTCCATCCGTCCATCCTCTCAAAGAGCACAGCCCACTGCCCACCGCCTTCTTGGGCCTCCCTGTTGGCCCGGTTTCCACTTTCCGTTTATCTTCACTCCCACCTTGGAGGGCTCTGGTGCTGCTTCTCCTGAGGTGTGCTCTCTCTTGCCCTCCTTCAAACCTACCTCTCCCACGCCCATTCTCTCTCCCACCCCCTTTTTTTTTCTGGCAACCAAGGGTGTTCGCCTTTAGCCAGCTCCTGGATGATTCAGCAAACACCCTCTAGTTGGCCAGTAACAACAGGCCTTACATAACCCAGCAGAAGAGAGAATCTCCCAGAATACACCGGGGTGGGGAGGGCAGGAGGGACCCTGAATAGAGGCTCATTCCTCCATCTCTGGGCCTCTGTGACTTGGCTTCAATTTTCACAAAGGCTCTCCCCTTGGCCCCTCCGTCTGCCCATTTGCAGTTGGGAGAAATAACCCCGGCAACATCACCGTCCTCTGAGAGGCCTGGCACCCCCAGGCCTGTGGAGTATCTTTCAGCACTGAATAGGGAGGGTGTGGTCCTCTCCCACCAGGGGAATAGGAAAGGAAACCTGGAAAGGAAAGGCTGGAGTTCATAATGTCCACAGCTTCATTTCCGACAATGTTCTCAATGGCTATGGTATTTCTGTGTCCCCTGTGCTGCTCTGAGTCAGTTTCCACCAGAAGGAGGGAGGGGGGCCAGGCAGCTTCACTCATCTCGAGAGATCTTCACTGCCAGGCACTTAACAAAGGCCTGAGGTGGAACGGGGAGGGCCCTATCCGGGGAGGGCCCTATCCCTTGGTCTGCAACCAGACTGAGTAACCCAGTGGGACTGAGGCCCCAGAGCCACCTGAGGACAGCCCTTGGCTATGGAATTCAATCCTATGGAGTGCGGGAAGAGGATCATAGGAGTATGGACTCCAGACACCTCATCAGCGAGGTCCATCCCACTCTGCCACTTCCTGGCTGTGTGGTCTTGAGTAAGTTATCACATCTCTCAGCTTGGTTTCCTCACCTGTAAGATGGGGGTACTCGCAGTCCTAAAAGGTTTTTGTGAGGAATAATTTATTTAATGACTGCAAAGCACCCGGTCCTTAATGCCCAGTAAATAAACATCATTGCTATTGTGTTGTTTGTTCAGTTGGGTTTTTTGGTTGTTTTTTCTTTATTTTCATTGCTATCGTTAATAAACATTTTCTGAGTGCCTGTCCCATAGTAGGCATTTTGCTAAGGGTGATGACACAAATGTAAACAAGACAGAAATTGTCCTTGCCCTTAAGAACGAATATTCTAGCAGGGGAAATGGACAAATGAGCGGGCAACCATAATACCACACGATAGAAGCTACAGAGAAGGCAGGGGCTATGGGAGCAGCAAGGAGGGGCCTCTCCTTGTGGCCTGGGGGCCAGGGAGTCCTGCTGCTTCCAAAACAGCTCATTGCCATTCTGGGCAATGCCTGCCTCGGTCTGGGGTAAATGGCGGGCTGGGTGAGGCCTGGGAGCAGTGTGGCAGGTCACTGCTGTGTGGCCTGGGCTTTATACCCCAGTGCACACAGCATCGTGGTGATGTAGACCAGTCTGTGATCACAGAAGAATTCTTGAAGGAAGCTATGGGAGCCATTTAAACCCAAGCAGACATGCCCTCTGCTTCTTGAGCCAGTGAGCTTTCCTCCAGGCCCAGTTTCCTTTGTTTGGAGAACGCAAAAGAAGGGGTGGCACTACATGGCCTGGGAAACCCAGTGATTCTGATCTAAAGAGAATGAACACAAATGCCCAGGAGGCTCTCCTTCCAGGCTCAGGTTACCTCTGTCCCCCTTCAAATCATTTGAAAACTAGGCCTATCTTTCAACAATTTTCAAATAAGTGTCTCTTGGGGTGCATCCAGATAACCTGCTGTAATCACTTGGGTTGCTTGTGAGCATGTGTTTCTGTGCTCCCACCCAGACCTGCTGACTCCAAATTTCTGTATGTGTGACGAGTGGCCTGGGTGATACGGGTGTACATTGAGTCTGCAACCCTCTGAAAGTAGGGGGGCTTGGAAGCCATGCAGGGGAGAGTCAGGATGGGCCCAGGCTCTGGAACCAGTGTGCCGACCCTCAACCTCACTGTGAGAGGGAGAAGCCAAGGGGAAGGAAAGCACCCCTGTTCTCTTCACTCCACTTCCTCTGGGGGCCAGATGAATGTGTGGACCAGATCTAGGAGCCAGAGGTAGAGCCAGAAATAGCACCTGAGGAGAGCAGTGTTGAAATGTCCCCAGCTAGGAAACCCCCAGTTGGACAGGAAACCAGGGCTGGCAGGAGAGTCTGAGGTTCTGGGTCCACAAACAGGAGGGAAGAGCCTCCAGAGGTGGCTGCTTAGGGTCTCCCTGATAGGGCCTCTGGCAGGCAACCTGCTGAAGTGCGCTGGCCCGCACCCCACAGCCCTCGTGGGCAGCTGCACAGCTCCAGCTTCCTCCGCTTACAATGGCAAGGGCTGCCCTTGCCCCAGGATGACTCTGCTCTCCACAGCTTTGTTCTCCATGGGAGTGGGAGAGTAGGGGTTACGGTTAAATCAGGTCACAGTAAGTGGTAAGGGGCAGCAGGTGGGGCAGGAGAATGGCGTGGGGTGGGGCCTTTCTCCTGGGTGTGTGCTCACGTCCTGCAGCTGCCAGATGGACCTCTTTCATTCTGATAGATGCTGGGAAGGTGAGCAGGTGCTGGGAAGGTGAGCAGGTGCTGGGCAGTAGTTGGAGCTCCTCAGGGATGCCCCTCATGTATCATGCAGGTTCTTACACTCATCGCTATGAACATCATCAAGTCCATGATGATGAGCTGAGCACCTACCCCACAGAGGACATGGAATGGGCTCAGAGGAGCCCTGTCAACAACCAAGGGTCAAGGCCATTCATCGCTGGACACCATAGAGCCAGGCCAGCTTCAGCTCCCGCCCTCTGTTCTTCACCCTGCAGTTCAGCCAAACTGACCTGAGTCCTGTTTCTGGAAGTTGCTTTCTTCCTTCTCTTGTTTGTGCTTTTGCTCTTCCTTCTGCCCTCTACCTTCTCATCTCTGTGCTGCTTCCATAAGGAAACCTTCCCTGATCTCCCACCTGTCTGAAAGCATCTCTCCGGATTATTTATTTAGCGTTTTGAGTGTTCCTCGTCAGCCACAGTGAGCACATTCCTCCTCCTTATGCAGTGATGTGGATTTGTCTTCTCTAGTCCTTATTTGTCTTTTCTGTTTCCTGTTGGACGGTAGCTCCTTGTTAACAGGACCTATGTCTGCTCCAGCTTTATACTTCTTACAGCCGCAGCACAGAGCCTGGTTCTCAGACTCACAGTAATTGTTGGCTTGTTGAATGAATGAAAAGATTCTAGCTGGGATTTTTTTATATATAGCGATAAAGCATCTTTTGCATTTAGGAATCAATTGCATTCAGAAAGCACTCAATCTATATTTGTTCATTTTCCTCTCACTTCTTCTTAAAAGCTTGGTATCTTCACAACTCCACCCTTCCTACTTATTTGTTGTCTCTAAGCCCTCAACAGTCATGCATTGGTGATGCTGAGAGCTGACACGGATTGAGCATTTCCTGCGTACTCAGAACTTCATACCATGTGCATTCTCTCATTCTCTCCAACACCCCCCATGAGGTAGGTTCTGGTGTGCCCACTTTATGGGTGAGAGAGTGGAGAGAAGAAACTTGCCCAAGGACAAATAGCAAGGTTTAAACTCAGTCCCACAGAAGTGGTTGGTGGTTCTCAAAATGTGGTCAGACCAGCAACATCAGCATCACCTGGGAACTTACTAGAAATGCAAACTCTTGGGTCTCACCCAGACGTACTGAAACAGAAACTCGGGGGTCAGGGCTCAGCTATCTGAGTTTAAAAAGTCCCCAGGGCTAGGGGATTCTGATGCACACTCAAGTTTGAGAGCCACTGGTTTGGTGATGGAGGTGGGTCCTGGCCCCTGGACTGCAGGGCATGAATCACCTCTGGGCCAGAGGCTCAGAGAAGACGCTGTGCGCTGCAGGCCTTGCCTCTCCGAAGCAGGCTGCCTCCATGCTCTGGACTGTGTTGGATCCCTCCAGGGCAGAGGAGAGCGGGCACGACGCTGGGCGGGCCAAGTTTTGCCATTGAGCCAGATGCCACATGACACCCTTGCTTTGTGATTTATGAGTTTCTCTCCCAACATC